AGTGGCGCGTGAGCCTTCAAGACCCCCAGTAGAAGCTGTGTGATCCACGGAGACACAGTGACAGGAGCTTGCTCGCGCTATCAGCTTGCGTCCTGCACACCATGAACGCATCGCGCACTGCGAGCTTGCTTGTGCTTTCTCCAGCCTTGATTTCTCTCCTTCGAGGATTGTGCCAGTGACAGTGAAAAGATACTATGCTATAAGTGTTAATGGTACTATAGCACCTGTATAGACATCGTGTTATGATGCACAGTAGCAGCAGAGAAACCACAGCAGAGTAGAGGATTAGTAAGCAGTTATTACACCTGCTTTTTTGTAGAAAGAGAAACCTTAGTGCTCTCCAGTCATTATAGAAACACTTCTATTTGCTTTCGATAGTGAAGTCGAAACGCCATAAAAAAGGAATACCCTGCGTCTAAAACACAGAACAAAGGTGGTGTAAACAGTCGTAGGCCAAAAAAGCTCTCAGGAGTCACATAGAAGATCAGACCCGGAGGAAAAAACACGCAATAAGAAGCCTGAAGAAATCTCATCGGGGCAGGAAAGCCCTGGTTCTGAATGCCTGATTGGTCTATCTCGGTTGAGTTTGAAGAGACTCAGGAGTGCATCACCTGCACCGCTAACATGGTTCTCCACGCTGTCAACGAGGACGACGAGAACCTTCGCGAGAAGGTTATGAAGAAGAAGTATTATTGCAAGAACAACAAGAGGAAGAAGCAGCAGCCCTTTTCTGACTTGGGTGTGTTCAAGTTTACCGACTATGACTGCATTGGCTTTGACCTCGACAACACCATCTGCAGGTACAAAGTCGGGGAAATCATGAGACTCGAGTACAGCCTCATCGCTGATTACATGGTCAACCGATACGGTTACGAGCCCGAGCTACTCCTGCCCCTTGATGATGACATCGACTTCCTGCACAAGGGAATCATCCTCGACATCAAGCGAGGAAACTTTCTCAAGTGCTCAGACAGCGGACGCATCATTCGCGCCACCCACGGCACGCGCCCTATGACAAGGGACGAGATTGTGGAGGTTTATGGAAAGGACAGGATTTGGGAACCAGTCATTGAATTCTCGAGAACTCTCTATGATCACCCGGTTAATGGCGAGGTCCCGGTTCTTCGCTCCTTCAAGGATTACTTCGACCTCCCTGCGGCCGTAGCTTGCGCAAGGGCCATTGATGCACAGGACAACGCTGAAGGAGGTCCTTTTGATGAGTACGATATCTGGCCTGATGTCCACGTGGCCATGTGCAACATGTATCGCCGGGAACATTTCCGCAATGACCTCGGTGGTTTCTTCCCTGAATTAAAGACCACCCCAGAAAAATACATCTATGAAGCCAGTGAGAGACTCAAGAAGTGGCTTCGGGCCATCAATGACCACACATTCACTTTCCTCATCTCCGGCTCAAGCATTGACTACGCTTCCCATATCGCGCGCTTTGTACTCGGGCCTGACTGGCGCGACTACTTCGATACGGTGGTCTGCACGGCCAAGAAGCCCGGGTTCTTCACCGCCAAAAGGCCTTTCAAATTCCTCATTGGTCCCGATGACGGCGATGAGGTGCCGCCCCACAAGCTCCGCATCGACGAGACCTACTCTGGGGGCAACTGGGAAGACCTGCTGACGCTGGTCAAGCAAGAGAGTGGTGTCGAGAACCCCCACTGCCTCTACGTCGGAGATCATCTGGCGCAGGACGTCCTGACTCCTTCCCTTGTGGATATCGACACTGTCGCGATTGTCGAAGAGCTGGCGGCCGAGGGTATGATCGGGGACTCCTTGGAGCATGACGCAGGAAGCGACCTCATGAGCATGTACTGGGGATCCTTCTTTACAACTGACGGCAACAGGGACGTCATGGGAATCGACAGGATAAACACCCTTTATGGCAGCGTCCCCGTCAGGCATTCCCGCATCGCCATCCCGTCGCTGGAGGTCGTGGCAAGACACCCCATTAGGCACCAGTATGAAGCCTTCAGCCAGGACACATCTGGCTTCTTCCCGGGAGATCCTGTCATCCTGCACTTCTAAGTCAAGCTGTGTTGTCATCCACATGAACAAAAGTAGAAGGAGAAAAAATAATAACAGTCATTGTTATTTTCGTTTTAGAGTCCTTGTTAATCAAAGTGATCATGCCAGCTCTCCATCATGCCGAGTGACCGTGCCAACTCTAAAGATGTGTTGATTTTTTGCTCTTCCCCTGAGGCGGGCCTCTTGTGAAACCAGAGCGAACCATCAAGCTGCGTTTGGCAAGGTTCCAGTTGATATTTTATGCAATCGGAAGCTTTTCGTGATGGCGGATGGCAGAATTAGTTAATCGATTCAATAATTTAGTCTTAAGTGAATATACTGTTGTAGTTTGGTTTTACTATAAATAGGATTAGAGAATGGGCTTCATGTCAAATCAAGACAGAAGAGAAAATTGGGTGACAAGATAAAGGAAGACTTATTATTTTGCTTTGTTTCTTTATAATGGAGAAAGATTGTAATAACTCACTGGTATCCAGATTATGAAAAAGCAAGACTTTATGTATGTCATGTAGATTTATATACAAGTACTTGTAGTAAATGATAAATTTTACTTATCATGTATTCTGTTTGTAAAAGCTTGGTTATGTTAACCGCAATAGGGCTAGTATATATTATACTGGATTCTTGTATTTGACTATCATTGTAGTGCAGACAACAAACCCTTCGTCAATACCCAAGTAAGATGGATATTAGGCGCTGTTTATACCCTGCATTGTCCATATACAGTATAATTGTTGTTTACGTCTGTTTAGAGACCAGTTTCCTGAGTAGGTATTTTATATAAAGCACGTACTTCAGATTTATAAGCAGCAAATGTGATCTCAAAATCAGAATAGTTATCTGCATCATTGGTGAATTTAACCTCACGCAACTGGTGTCAGCAATTATAATAGCTGCAACTTTGGACTTGTTAGAATAGACAGTGTATTTCATCGCTTGATTCCTGATCTCTTTTAACCACAAGTAAGTTAAGTTGTTCCTATTAAGGTGCAGTCACACGAAATGTTCCTCCTACAAGAAATAATAGCATCGTCCATATTGACATGGCTATAGAAATAATTGAGTTGGATGCTTTCTTGCATGGAGTAACACGTGTACAACGTCACTTTTAAATTAAGTTATAATGCTCGACAAATGTACCAAGAGCATGTTCAAAAGATAGCAGAGTGCTGTATATATTTTCAACGGTAGACGACACTTCGTAACCCACGCTACGGAAGTTCCTCGAAGACCTGGTGATCTTGAGTCCTTCTCGGCGCTGGTCATCTCCGTCTGTTTCTTCTGGATCAGTTGCGTCTTCCTAACTCCTCACGGCCTGTCGCTGAGGCAGGCCGCCACGTCCGTCTGTGATCTCTATATTTAATATTCCTGTACAGTGATGTTTTATGGTGTCACTCTGTCACGTCCAGTCACAATGTCAGACCTTACTGCTCACTTTATCACCTCATGTCATAAGAATTGCACATTATAGAAACTCAGTAGTGGCAATTATTGCATTCTGCAAGACATGTATCCCTTTCAACATTATTTTACATTTTTGTATTTCATCTGTTTGTGTATGTGATGTTACCTCTATATGATTATGTTACATTCTGCAATTTTGGCTGCCATATTATGCCAGCCTTAGTATGTCATAATCTGCTTTACGGTGTTACAGCCTGACATGCTTCTTGAAGAGTTTCTATTTTTATACAAGTAAACTTAGGTGGTATTCGTGGTTATTTCATTTTCCTTTATAAAGTATATGGTATTGGAAAAATGAAAGGCTATACGACCAATATATAAAACAGACGACAGGAAGTCTGGCTAAGAAAGATAAGATAAAATAAAATTGCATCTGACACACACAGATAATAAACATAATGAGTCTGTCAACGATCATAAAATATGAGGATATATATCGCTTATTAATATACTGATAAAAGTATAAAAACAAATGCACATACTTATTCCATTACATACACTCCTGCATTATGCGTACACAGACACAGACACTATATTTCAGTTACGTAGACATTCGGAGTAAATCTCCGGAGGCCAGTTGCTCTGGAAAGGACACTTAATTGGGCCACTTAAACTGCAGCCGCACTTGTGTCGCGGACAGGAGACCTATCAGTGATGGGGCGGCGTCTCTTCCGAGGCGCCTTGTGCATTACACTTTCGGCTGAATCCTTCGCCGTTAAGGACTTTCATTTCGAAGATCATACTTTCCCCTTTGCATCTTCACCCAAAAGGCAAATTAAGAAGATCGAAATTCAATACACATATATCTGTATACACACACATGTTTACACACACACACACACATACACACACACACACATACACATACATACACACACACACACACACACACACACACACACACACACACACACACACGCACACATACGCACACACACACGTACACACACACACACATACTCACTCGTGCATATATATAAGTATGTATGTTTGTATGTTTGTTTGTGTGTATATATATATATATACATACATACATATATATATATATATATATATATATATATATATATATATATATATATATATATATATATATATATATATATATATATATATATATATATATATATGTGTGTGTGTATATATGTATATGTATATATATGCATATGTATACATATATATTTATATAGAGAGATACAGATATATCTTTATAAGTGTATATATATGTATATATAAATATACATTTACATTTATATACATGTACACATATATACTATATCTATACATACATATATGTATGTATGTATATATATGTATATTTATATAAATACAGTGATGGCGACAACAAAGAAAATTATTTATTGCTAGTAAAAGTTTTACTAAATGAATTCTCATAATACGAATAGCATGACCTAAAATTAATCTTACTCTTCATTATCAATATTACTATTATTATCATTATAATTATTATTATTTGCCATTAATAATCATTGTTAGTATTTATATAATTCTTGCTCTTATCATAACTACGTACTGTAAAATTATCACTACCATCATTTTTATGATAACCATTATTATTATTATTATTATTGTTATTATGATCAACATTGTTATTATTATAATTTTTATTATAAGTATTATCATTACTATTATTATTATAATCATTATCATTTTTATCATTGTTATCATTACCATTATTACTATCATTGTTATAATCATCATTATTTTTATCATTATTGATATTTTCATGATTATCATTATCATGATTATTATTGTTATTATCATTTATATCATTATTATTATCACTGTTGTTCTCATTATTATGGTCATCATTATTAACATTAGTAGTAATATCATTGTTATTATTATTATTATTATCAATATTATTATTATCATTATCACCATTATAATGATTATTACTTTAATTTATTCTTATTATTTTCTTAATCTATTCTAATTACCTGTCCCTCGACATGACTTCCGGTAGAGCCGCCACCACCCGCGGCTTTTGATTTAAGGCAAACCCGAGAAAAACAACCTTGGTTGACTTTAAAATGATGTGAGTGGCATGACTTCGAGGTCTTAATAAGGTTCATGGGTTGAGTGAATGTCTCTGTTGAGTGTATGCCGAAGATACATCGCTTATAGAAAAAAACTCTCCAATTGCTAAATTGCATATAAAAATAAACTGATGGCATTTTACAATTTTTAAATTTTAAAATTACTAATATTAGATAAAGTAAAACACATTCCTAACGCAGTCAACTTTTGAATGATTTCATTGTTGTATCCGCGGGCCCAAAAAAATAATAAATAAATATTTTATGTAAACAATGGGCTAATGGTAAACATGGTATGTGTGGTGACCTCATTTTTTTCCCAAGACTCTCTTTCTCTCTTTCTGTGGGCGAAGCCAGATTCAGAATCCCTCTGTATGACTAAGTTACACCAATACATTCCCTCTCGTATTAACATTACCTTAATTACATTTAACTGTCGATAAAACTTCAACTGCCGAAGAAAAACAAAATGTTCAGTACCCAGCACTGATACGAACCCTTCAGCCGTAATCGTTACCATGACTTCCTCTCCCACTAACTGAAACAATGTAAGCAACTTTACTTCATAGATATCTTGAATAACATTTAATTCGCTGCACTAGACCTGACACCACCTTTTGCTATATCATCATGCCTTCAAAAGAAGAAATGTGTAAATAACGTTTAGGTGGTGTTTGGCAATTATTCTGTGTGGTCAAGACATTTTTACATTTATAACCAATATAACTTTTAAATGTCTAATCAATATCGATCTCGACATTATCATTACTATTATCATAATTATTATTATGATCATTCTTCTTCTTAACATTATTTTCATTATTATTATTATCATTGTTATTATTATTATAATTGTCATTATTATTATTGCTATTATTACTATTGCTGTTATTGGTATTATTATCATAACCAACATTAACATTATTATTCATATCAATAATAACATTATTATTCATATCAATAGTAACATTATTATCATTATCATTATTATTATTTCTAATCATCACTACTTCCTTTATCATTGTTATTATCATTATTATAATTATTATTATTATTATTATTATTATTATCATGAGTATTTTTATTGTTACTGTTACTATTATTAATATCATCATTACCGTTATCTTTATTATTATTATTATCATTATTATTATTATTATTATTATTACTATTATTATTATTATTATATTATCATTATTATTATTATTATTATTATTGTTATTATTAATATTATCATTATTATCATTACTGTTATTATCATTATCATTATTATCATCATCATCATTATCATCATCATCATCATCATTATCATCAACACAACTTTGCATTTTTTCATTGCTGAGATACTAATTTTTCAAAAGCAACTTGTTGCAAAAAAAAATCTGTCTAAAAATATAGTTTTGAAGCATTTTTTTACCGAAATATACGTCGTCTGCTATTGTACACATTAAAATACTGTTCGCAGCGCCATCTTTTGGAACTAGTTCCGATGACGTCATGAGTTGTGTTAGTGTCAGTGTTGTTTATTATGGATATGGCGTGTTCTTCATCACCCAGTGTTGATAGCTTTTCAAGTTCGTCTTTTGACGGTAGTCTGGACTCTATAAACATTTCCGATAACAGTGAAGATGTATGGCATGTTTGGCAAGACGGTGATGTGCCTGGTTACCAATTTGAGCCCGAATATTTGTCTGAAGAGGAGCTCTTGGAGTCCGCGGCATTTCAGCCACTAGAGAACTATTGGTTGGAACAGCGAATGGACAATACTGACTGGTAGGCAGTAGCGTAGCGAGGGGGAGGGGGGGCAGCCGCCCCCCCAATGCTCAGAAAGTTGGTCTCTGAGAAAAGTGCAAATCTGCAATAAAATTTGTAGGGGGCCCCCCTACAAATTTTATTGCACAAATGGCATAGCTCATTATTAGCCATCTAAAAAGAGCCGTTTTCCAGCATTCTAAGGGGCGTGGTCTTAAATTTTCCCGGGGGAAGATTCCCGGACCCCCTGCTTACCTGTTTGCCCCCCCCCAATCTTCCCGCTCTGGCTACGCCACTGCTGGTAGGTCTCAGTTTTTTTTACACCCATTCTCCCATGTCTCTAACATTAGCTTAGTAGGGTATTCTGAGGTACTATTGATAAGTCTATACGGCGTCTAGGCTCTCCATCGCTCGACATGATGCGAAATGCACATGAACATGATTTAATTAATACATTGGCGATTCCTTTGCAAGTTTTCGAAGTCGATCGTACTGAAGAAAATGGGGCCTAGTCCAATAGGCCTGTGATCTGGCTGGCCTGGCCCTAACTGTTAGCAAATTCCTATGTTAAAATACATCTTAACTGTGGTTTTGATTTTTACAGGTGCAAATGTGACAGATTTGAGTTATGTGAAACTCCAGAGGAAAACACGTGTTGCACAGAAAAGATGCCAATACAGGAAAAAAATTGATGAGTACAACGACAATTTTGGGGGAAACATTAAGTGCATTACACAGCATCCAGGTTTCATGTCTAACTGTCTGGATGTCTGGGTTCTACAGAATGTTTATGATCATTTCAAAGTGCAACATAAACACAGATTTGAAGGAGAAACCGATGAGTGAGTGTGTTAAATTAAATAATTAAATATATTATTACAGATACACTATTAATAATATGGATCTCTATCCATATTTGGTGGACAATAGGATATTTGCATACAAAATATCACACGGAAATATCACACAAAAGGTTTTCATCCATGCATTCACGGCGATAACTAAGAAAATGAACACAACTCATGACGTCATTCCCGGGTTGGTGGCGCTATTGGTAATATTTGAGTTAAAAGCTGTAGCAGACGACGTTTTGGGCCCAGAATTTGTTAATTCAAAAGGCTATAAATATAAAACGCGTTTCTTTTTTTTATTATTATTATTTTTTTTATCTTATGCATATTTGGAGGTACAAGAACAAATTCTGAGATGCATATCATACATTTAATTCACCTAGTGGTTACTCTTTAGCATCAGTAGTATCAACTTCATAATGATTATCATTAATATCTTCGTTATCGTAATTATCACTTATCGTCATTATCAATACCACTAGAATTATGATTTTATTTTTGATTCAGTAAATAGCTCGTAGAAAAAAAAGTATCCTAAAAATAATAATAGAAACGATGAGTGAGTAGAAGGTAAAGAGGTAGCCTGGCCTGGAACAATGTTTCAGCAGCTGTTGTGATGTTAGGACCTGGAGCGCTGCTTATAACCAAGATTTCTCTTAACTTTATGGCGGTATAGTTTTGTTTTTTTCAGGGCATAATGCACGGCAGAAAATCCCATACCATCATTTGTTTTAATCAGTGCCACATATATAAACAATGCGAAATGGCATTTGTCTCTGTATTTTTTTTCTCTCTTTTTTAATTCATATTATTATTTGTTTTATTTTGATGGAAAAGTGGAACTCTTAGTTCTAGGGATATTAGCTAAGTTAATGGAAATTAACATGAAGTCAAAAAAAAGTATATATATATATATCAGGGCCAATATACCGTTAAAACTATTTACTTTTTTATGATGATGACGGCAATGTTGACAGTGATGATGATGATGATGAAGATGATAGTGATGATGATGACGATCATGATGATGGTGATGATGATGAGGAGGAGGAAGATGAAGATGATAATGATGATGAAGATGATGAGGATGAAGAATCTACAGGTGCGATAATAATGATGAGGATAAGGAGGAAGAGGAGGATGAAGATGAGGATGAGGATGCAGATACTAATGATGATGAAGAAGATGAGGATGATGATAATGATGATGAAGAAGATGAGGATGATGATAATGATGATGAAGAAGATGATGATGATGATGAAGATGAGGAGGATGAAGAAGAGGATGATGATGATGAAGATGATGATGATGATGAAGATGATGATGATGAAGAATCCAGAGGTACGGGGAAGCACGCCTCTGTGTGCCCCAACGGAAAAATATCTTATGAGTAAATCTAGCCAGATTCGATCCAGTGTGCTGCCAGTGCGCTGTCCATAAATTTGGCACAACGATCGTCCAGCGGGAATATGAGAAGTCGACCTTAATTTTGATACTAAAGGCAGAAGTTACCCCACAGATGATGGCCAAATTGTGGCTTCAGGAATTACGAATTTGAATATAATCCTTTTCTATCTACCTGTCTATATATGAATAGATAAATAGCAGTTATATATATATATATATATATATATATATATATATATATATATATATATATATATATATATATATATATATATATATATATATATATATATTATATATATATATATATATATATATATATATATACATATATATATATATATATTTATTTATATATATATATATATATATATATATATATATATATACATAAATATATAGTCAAAACGAAGAGGTAGACAAATATGGCCGTGAATAATTTCATGTTTATTCGCAAACGTGTCAGAGATACATCCAATCTCTATCATCAGTGCTGTAAAATTGAACCAAAAAAATGCGTGTATTAGACAACAGAAACGAAATTAATTACAGAGGTTCTCTGAATTACAGTTAATTTTTTGGGGGGGTCAATTTTACAGCACTGATGACAGAGATTGATGTATCTCTGAAACGTTTGCAAATAAACATGAAATTATTCACGGCCATATTTGTCTACCTCTTCGTTTTGACTATTCGACGCCTATGTGGAAAACCTATATATATATAATTATATATATATATATAATTATATATATATATATGTATATATATATATATATATATATATATATATATATATATGTATATATATATATATACATATATAGATAGATATATAGGTAGGTAGGTAGATATATATATATGTATATATACATATATCTTATACATACATACATACATATATATATATATATATATATATATATATATATATACATATAAGTTTACATATATACATGGATAGATAGATAGGGAGATAGATAGTTAGGTAGATGAATCAGTCAAAATATTTATACATGTATTTACATATAGCCTTGTTAGCTTACTAATCTAGATCAGCGTTTCTGGAGCAATTTATTTCTTATTCAGAATTCGAATTTTCACTTCTTGTTTTAGTAATAAAATCAGAAGTATCAAAATGACTGTTAACATACAAACACACATGCTTCTTTTTATAATTTACTTTAATTTACGGTCACTCATTTACTTTAATTCTTCCTCGCCCAAGATGTGCATAGTGCGAAAGTGTATTAATAGAATATGTTTTCTTAAAGGAAAAATCGAAGTGACCGACTTGGAATGGTCTGCCTTTTACGTTTATTGCTTCTATGTCGTTAGAATTTTGTTTCAGATATATCAATTTTCGTTTTCCGTTAAAGCTTCACGGGTATATGGATGGAGTCGAGTTTAGAGATCATCTGGTATTCCGCCAGGGAAGGGTACGTGTTACTGGCTCCCTTCGACAAATTGCTGGAGCGTCAATCTCTCTAACCCTTTTATACCACTTGCTTGCCAAACTGCTAGACAAATAAATACGAAGAAACTTGTACAACTGTATTTAAGCTAAGGAAGAACGCGCGGGCATCATTTCCGTAGATTATCCTTCGCCGGTAGACAGGGAAGTCAGTCCTGGCTGTGTAGATTAGACCGGGCAACATGTAGATTGCATTGGTCTCGGAATAGGAAGCGTCAGAGAGGTAGTCTATTTCAAGGTCTGAAAGGTAGCTTTTTTCCATCATTCCTTTTAAAAATGCAAGGAGGCGGGGTATTGGTACACGGTTGTGTGTTTGTGTGTGTGTGTGTGTGTGTGTGTTTGAAAGAGAAAGAGAGAAAGGGAGAGGAAGTGAGTCAATGAGAGAGAGAGAGAGACAGACAGATAGACAGACAGACAGACAGATAGACAGACAGATAAACATCCGGCAGACAGGCAGACAAACAAACACACGAACGGACACACACACAAACATACACATATAAAGATGGAGCATTTATGAATATATATACATATACATAAATAAATATATATATATATATATATATATATATACATATATATATATATATACATATATATATATATATATATATATATATGTGTGTGTGTGTGTGTGTGTGTGTGTGTATGTGTATGTATATGAGTATATGTATGTATATATGTGTGTGTGTGTGTGTGTGTGTGTGTGTGTGTGTGTGTGTGTGTGTGTGTGTGTGTGTGAGCATGTGTGTGTGTGCGGGAATGTGTATGCATTTATCTATCAGTCTATTGGCAAGCTACAAAGCAACAAATAACATGGACGATCCGGGAGCCGTTTAAAGATCAACCCAAAAATAAGGTGTTAACTTTGGCCGTCTGCTGTTGGTTTCCACGCAACAGAGCCCCCCTCCCTCTTGGCCTGATTGGGGCATGGGGAGCGGGAGGGGGTGGAAAGGGTTTGTGGCAGGTGGGGGAGGGGATGGGGGCAGAGATCAAGGAGGGGTGAGATCCTATAAAGCTCAAGCTAGACACGGAGGGTAAACATGCCCTGCCAATGTATGCAGCAAACGCTCAACACGGTAAACATTCCATGCGAGGGACTGCCATTGTAAATTCTCAAGTTGCTTCTTTGATTGCAGAAGAAAAGGAGATAGGGAACTTGCTGGGAAGAAAGAACGAAAGAATAAAGACAACAATAAAAAGATGTGAAAAAAGTGGCTTTACGTTACAAATGTTAAGTGAGAGCCATCATATAAATTCTACGTTTTAGACATATTCCAGTATTCACAATAAAAGATTTTTCGTTATTGAATTTCAAAGGTAACTTACGAGAGCTATTGCGAATGCTCTGCAAACTCTCACCGATAGAGGAATACAGATATCCATAGGCGCTGACTGTTTGCTCATATATGTATATCAATATATTTGCAAATAGACTCACCTGCCTGCATGTTTGCCCTTTGTTTGTATTTTTTTTTCTAGTGATCAGTCTACCTTTCTTAGCCTCGTAATATTTATTTGTTTATCCATTTCCCTTATATTCTTGATATATGCGTAATTTACTTTTAGTATCGAGGTAATCGAACAGACACAAACACTCTTTAGAACTTTAGAACTGAACCAAGATGAAAAATGTATTTTTGGGAGGCCATATAAAATTAGATCCTGATCCAGAGATTTAAGTGAGGAGTAAATTTTATCATCAATGATGTGTTTCCCTTTGAGTTTTCCTAATAATGAATTTAGGTTATCTTCATTTTCTATTATTAAAGATTCAGGTTTATTATTTACTTCAACACATTTTGATTCATCTCTCAAAATCTCCTCAACTTTGTTTAAAGAACCTAAATTATCCATTTTCACGACACTTGGACCTTTTTCTTTTTGTTTTGTAACAATTAAATCAGGATTCTTTGATAAACCTTTTAGAAGCTTAACGTTTGGTTTTGGTATACCATCATTTGATATATCTTTTTGATAAGAGCAGTAAATAGGAAAGGCTGTGTCCTTTAAGAATGATTTTATATTTTTTTCTGCTTGTGGAAATTTACTGGAAGGTTCATGGTTATAGAGGGACTTTTCGAAAGATAAGAAAAAATGAGTGAGGTATACTCTAGATGGTAGGATATCAAATTTCACACCTTATGCTAATAAGCTTTAAAGTTTAAGTGGCGCCTCAATCTTAAAAAATAATAATAATAAGCACTACTTTATTCACCTTTAAGAGTTCACCAACACTATTCAAACCTAAATGAAAAAGTTTCTTTTCATGTACCGTTTTATTATTTCTCAGAGATCTAGAGTTAAAGGTTTCAAAGTAAAAATTTAAGTGGTTAAATACTGTCTAAGAAACAATTTTTTTTTCTAATTTCTAATTCCGCACTTGTTCAGTTAATATCATAGTCTTTAAATGTAGTTTTGATTTCAATACCCAAAAGTTTATCATGTAACCGGGCCGAACTGGGATGACGCTTTGTCTAAATCACTTTTTGCCCACTCTTATGCTTATAAATGATTGTGATTTATAGTTAATGTACCTTAATATCTATGATAGCTATAGTAATTTTATATTTATTGCCTAATTTGAATTATAGAATTTACAAAATTTTCAATATTTCCTTTTTATTTTCTTAATGTTACTCTTAACTCCCATATCTTCTACCAGTTCGTAAATGTAATGCTAAAAATTAAGCATTTCATATTATCCTATTCAACCTTTATACTCACTTTGTTGTTGATTTGAACGTAGAGAATTTAATGACTGACTTTGTGTTTTTGATATTTCTAATATTATCTCATAGTTCAAATAATATTATCTCTTAATTTGCAGCTTGTAACAATAAACTAAATTGCCATTTTTCCACACAGTACTGACTTGTAACTTAATAATAATGTTACTAGTCAAGGGACTTATCTATCTATCCATCTATCTACCTATATATGTATACATATACATATATATATATATATATATATATATATATATATATATATATATATATATATATTTATAATGCTTATTGTTCTTTACAGTTATGTATCACTGATGATAAGTGATGTTAACCTAAAACGTTTGAAGAAATCTTGTTTTGTTCGCATTAGATTGAAGAATTTCAATGTCTTAGTTTGTTGTCAGCCTATTGTTCTTGTGTGTATACACATATTATATATATGAATATGTATATATATATAGAGTGTATATATATATATATATGTATATATATATATATATATATATAGAGAGAGAGAGAGAGAGAGAGAGAGTATATATATATATATATATATATATATATATATATATATTATTTATTTATATAAACACAGTAACGTGTACACAAAGATGAAAAGCAGAACAGCCACAGTAAGAAATGAATATAAACCGTAACGTTTCGAACTCTTCACGAATTCATCTTCAGACGAATAATAAACCGAAAAGGATTTCGGTTAATTATTAGTATGATATATATATATATGTATATATATATTTATATATATATATATGTATGTATGTATGTACATATATATATATTTATATATATATATATATATATATATATATATATATATAAGTATATATACATATATATATATCCATATATATATATATATATATATATATATATTGTTATTTATCTGTTTATATAGGATAGGTAGATAGAAAAGTTGATTTGTCACTCATTTCACACTTTGGTGTTAAACTACATTTGTAACCAATGACGTTAAAAGTTGGTGCTTTCACACACCAACTACCGTGAAATTCTGTTTCTTGTTTCTGTTAGAGAGGATTATATTCAAATTCGTAATTCCTGAAGCCACAGTCCGGCCATCATCTGTGGGGTAACTTCTGCCATTAGTGTCAAAATTAAGGTCGACTTCTCATATTCCCGCTGGACGAACGTTGTGCCAAATTTATGGACTGCGCATTGGCAGACACTGGATCGAATCTGGCTAGATT